AATTGCTTTCCTCAAGTGCAATTATTCGTGGCATGAAAACATGCTATACATCTCATTTCTATCCCATTTTCAATGACCCATTCTTTTTAAGAGAAAGAAAAAGGATCTAAAACAGCATCATATATAATACACACGTCACAAAAATGTATTGCTTAGTGCAAAAACCCGCCTAGGTAGTTCATTATTAATTGATTTCAGAAGCTCGTGTAAATCATTAGTGAGTAGGGATACGTGAAGTCTCCTTCATGCTTGCTGTGGACATGATATTATCGAACCTGGCTTTCCAAAGTTGGGTTATGTTACACTTGTAAATGTCATGTCATCCCAGTTCATTTTGTCTTTATAATTCTGTTAGAACATTTATGTATGCATTGTTGACTACTGCTTTATCTATGTGTGTATGTATTTTTATGCTAGTATAGGGGCGAATGTAGTGAGATAACCTGTTAAGCTTACATGACTAAGCAGTCAGACATTACTAATGTGATAAAGAGTTCTAGCTTGCCTTGTGAAAATGACAATGAAAAGATTCCATGGCTTGGCAGACTGTCGGACTCAAAACCAGAGTTTATGTCATTTTCTTTGATGCTATGTTTTGTCTTTTCAAAACTGAAGGCTTGCCAGATTTTCTGATAAATGCATTTTCATGAACTCATTGCTCCGTCATGACAGATTACGTTATTAGTTATTGATCAAATTGTTTTGGTGGTACTTTCTGTCTGTTCTTATCAAGAGCGCAAGGAATTGATAGAGAAGGCCGAAGAAAAAGAACGGCTTGTGAAAGAAAAGGAAGAGAAAGAAAGGAAAGAAGCTGAAGACGCTAAACAAAAAGAAACAACAGCCGAAGAAGCTAAAGTTATTGACTCTGAGCAGCATGATCTTCATGATAATTCTGAGCATGAAGATTCACAGGTTTTAAGTGCTGGCCCTTTCGATATGATAGTAATGATTTGCTAGCTATTGAAACCTGCAGAGAAAGTATACAATCATACATCATGAGCCAAGATGTTTTGTGAATATAATATTCAACTATTATTAATATCAAATCTTAGTTTTTGGTCCTTGTCAGAAAGAAGAAAGAAAAAGAGTTAAATTGGTTTCACTGTTGTTTCCAGCTCTCGCAAATAAGATTTAAGTGATGACTTGATGTTATTCTGTATTTCCCCATTTCATAGTTTACCAGAACTTCCTGAACATAGCAAATTTAAGGTTGCATGCAGGTGTGTTTCAAAGGTAACTGTTAGACCTGCTGAGAAGAGGTCATAACTTTATTATAATGAAAAATGCTATACTATGACTATTCTGTGGACTTCCCTTAATAGTAAATTATTATTTGCAAACATCGATCAGCTTAATTTTATTTCCTAACAAATTTCCTTGTGATAGACCTGAATGGTATCAGGAGTAATCTTCTTTGCTTCTAGTTTCCTTGATTTCTGAATTCCTGCATATGGTGTCAACTGTCAAATAGGATCCTGTGGTAGACAATCCCGAAATGGTCAATGCACCTGAGCTTGACCATTCAATTAAGGATGGATCTCCAAGTGATGGAGTAGAAGATAATGAGGGCTCCATACAGGTTCACTGTTGTTTTATCTAAATACCACTTCTTGAGACCACACAAAATGTTTATTCATTACTTTATGTTCGTACTTCTTTCTTGTTAGAACACAGAACACCAAGGTGAAGATCCAAATGTTGATGAAAAAGCTGATTTCAGTACTGGAAATGAGGTAAATGTTTGGTGATTGGCTGATTGCATATTACACAACGTTGTGTAGTGTATACTTTTGCTTTTCAAATAAAGTCGCTATTCCGCTGTAATTTTTGTCACTCTAAAATATATTGTCTCATATTCAGATGTTCACCTAATTCCACCCTCATCTTTTTAAAGCAACCATTTTATGATTTCAGGATGAAGATATAGCTGAAGATATTGAGACATTATCCAGGGAAGAGTTAGGACGTCGCGTGGCATCCCGGTGGACCGGAGAACAGCCTGGGCAACAGGAGGAGTTTGACACCTCTTTAGATAAGAATCATGAATATTCGGATGAGACAAAAAATGAAATTACATATGAGGACAACAATGACTACGTATCAGATGATGAAGAGCATAAGTATGATGATGAAGATGAAAAGGAAGACCTAGTCGATGATTTTGGAGGGGGGGATCATTTGGATACAGGTTCTTCTCGTGAACCTGAGTCTGATGATGAGTATGACTTGTCAGGTAATAAAATTGTCTGTTGAAGTTTCACTTTCAGTTACAGAATGTTGAGAAAGTGTAAGTTATTTATAATAATTCAGATTGGTCAGATATTACTGGCGCAAGTGGCTCATCTTGGCTGGAGAAGATACAGAAGAAAGTGAAAACCATCTTTCAGGCTGTCAATTTGTTCCAGAAACCTGTTAATATATCTGGTATGAGAGTATTCGATGATTTCAGCTTTACAGGACACAAGTTATAAAATTAACATCAGTTTCTTGATTCACTCTGCAGAGGCTGCGCATATACGAAAAGAATATGATGAATCCAGTGCCAGATTATCCAAAATACAGTCAAGGATATCGAGTCTAAAACAGAAACTAAAACAAGATTTTGGTATGGAAAGATATGGACAAAATGGATAGTCTTACTGTTATTGTTTTTACATCTATTGCATGGTATTCAGTCATCATGGCAAGTGAATGTGCTCACGTTAATACTGCAGGTCCAGACAAGGAATTCTATTCGTTCTATGGTCAATGTTTTGAGACAAAGCAGAATAAGTCGGGAGCTTCTTAATTATTCTTTATGAGCTTCTTTGATTCATCATTTGCTAGTAAAGAAACTAAGTTTTCTTATATCAGGTGTTGAAATTCTCTGTTTCAGGTATGTTTACAAAGTCTGCCCTTTCAAAGAAGCTACCCAAGTGGAGGGTTACAGCACAACCCGATTGGGGTAACCATATTTTTTTATACTTAGTGTACTTATTTATTTATGTTCAGAGCATTTTCTTTTATTCTGCTCGGATTTACTGTTTAGGCATGTCCCATGTAGAATCCCCTTGCTTGTAGATCCACAAAATTCAAGCTTTTTCGTCACATTTTATTAATCTACTTGTGCAGGAGCTGGGAGAAATTTGAAGATTCTTACAGAAACATGCAATTTTTACATGGAGATAAATGCTGGAATGGCCCAGATAGAAGCTTAAAGGTAGATATGTAACTTAAAACCATCATGGCATCTTGAACCACTCTGTTATTTTAATGCGTTTTTGTTGCGTGCCAAGCACTCCATAGGTACTTGACTGCATTCTGTGTAACCTACGCAATGGAATAGTTAAATTCATTAATTGAACTTAAGCTGACGAGATGTTGCAAATGAGAATTTTTATCGTCCTCGTCCGCTTGACTTTTTCTTTCCCAAAACCAACTTGTTTGTCTGCATACCTGAAATGCAATAGTTTTAACTGGGAAGACAGCATTTTATAGGTGTATATTTTCGTATAGGTTCTGTACGAAAATATACTGGTATGTTGTTGTTGTTATTGTATATACTGGGTATGTTGTTGTTGTTGTTGTATATTTTCGTATAGGTTCTGTTGTCTGATATTCCACGCCTTTTGTTTTTTATGAGTGCAGGTCAAATTAAGGTGCGGTTTGAAAAATGAACTTACAGATGTTGATGAACCAAGCCGATGCGAGTATGAATCTATATCTACCTCTTTCTTGTATTCAGTTGCATCTCATGGGATAGTGACATATATGTATGTGTGTGCATTTTTTGGATGTCTGCTTGTGGTTCATGTGGCTTAGTTATGCAGAACCTGATCTGGGACTTCTGTTTTAATGTCATCAAATTTTTCTTCTAATTTTTCTTCATACATGTGTCTTTTCAGGTACGTGGCATTTTTATCCACTCCTGCACTTTGTCTTGACAGTAGACTTAAGGTTGCCTTTTCAATCTACTTGCCGTTTTTTCACGTTTTCCTCTCCCTTTATTTAACTCGTTATTTGATGCAACGTGGTATAGGAACTAAAGGAAAAATCGGAGTCACTGAACAAGGATCAACCCCAAGTACATGACGAGCTATGATCCAATTAATTGGGAGATATGTATGCTTCCCCTTCGATATACGATTCTCTTCACCGAATGGCAAACAACGTGCCTTCTATCTCGTAGATCTTAGAGGTAGTTGAGTTGCTAAAGGAGTAGTTATTTACGGGAGACGAACTAGCCAAAGAAAGAAAATTTGTGTTTATTGAGAACTCTGTTTTTGTTCTTCTTTACTCAAAGAGGAGAAAGAGAGAATTTTTGTTACATTCTACATGGTGCTTCTCATCTGTGTGTACTTATGTGGTTCTAATTGTTATTTGTTCCTTGTATGGCATGGATGGAAGACAGAAAAAATATAAAAGACAACAAACACAA